TTGACTTTTGATGCCTTTGGGAACGAAAAATGAAATGATCATCTTTTTGAGTAGGATGACAGGTCTAGGTGTTGCAAAGGTTCCATATCTTGGGATGTAACTCTATAGAAAAATTTGAGAGTCAAGGAATGCGATAATGTTCAAAAAGACCAGGCGTCTTCATAATTTTGTCCAGCTTTCAAAACGGGTTTTTTCGAATTATCCCATTTTTCTCTGTTCGAAATCAACGTGGTAGGCTTACATGCGCACCACACAGCAAAGTTTCACGAGTTTATCAAAAAGAACGTAAATTACAGTGATTTCTAGAGTGTCCTTATAATTATGTCCAGCACTGAGCACTTAAAGGCAGCGGATCGGCAAAATATACCTTTGTCAGATCTTGGTAGGGTAGACCCCCAAGTACACTATAGCCCCCCAATCCCACCTTCCAACTTGAAGCCCTGAAAATGCTTCCAATTTTCAACAATGACGCCCACCAGTGCAAGTGGGCGGGGCTGAAATATGAAGCAATTTTTCAGGGTTTAGGCCTCCAGCCAGAGGTGCGATAGTGGGAGCCGATTCTCCCCCTACCTTCACTTTTGAGCTGGTACAGGGTGACCACCTTCACTTTTGGAATAACAAATTTTTCGCTGGACGATAAAGAAGGAAAATAAGCAAAACAAACGCAAAAAAGATTATTGAGAGCATATATTTATGTATACGGCGGCATATATGTTTGAAATAAACGTGTTCAGTAAATAGTGTATTTGAAAGTAAAACTTAGCGAAACTGTACGGATTTTATTAAGCAAATTTTGCTATAACGTACAGCAAGAAAGTAGATCGATCCAGGCAGTAACGGCCGAGAACCAGAATTTTGAATAATTAAATAATGAAAAATCATGCAAAATTTCCACTGTTATAAATCTGTTGTTTGAAGATGTCAGCAGTTGCGACTTCATAGGTTTTGAAGAGCAAATGGTGCTCTATCAGCTAGTGAAAGAATCGAGTGGATTTGAGAGATAGTCGTTAAAAACCAGAATTCTAGAAATTTACGCCATTTTTACGTGTTTTTTGACAGTTTACAGTTAAACTCATATAAATCTTGAATGTGAGTTCCGATTTACCCAACACCTCCAAAATCTAGAGTCTTGAAAAAGCAGGTAAAAAAGCGCTTTTTGAATTTCAACAGCTTGTAACTTCTTCAGAGCTGCTGAATCATGTTGCGACTTCATAGATTAGATTCTTCTCATCAAGAGCTTTCAAATGATATATGATATGTAAAAGTTTAGAGCCTCCTACGAATTATGCCCGTGGGGGGAGCCTTTTCGTACCAAAGTCTCCCCCCTCCAATACATTAAAGTGGGCTAAGGGGAGACTTTGGTATGAAAAGGCTCCCCCACGGGCATAATTCGCAGGAGGCTCTAAACTTCCGCATATCATATATCATCCGAAAGCTTTTGATGAGAAGGATCTAACCTATGAAGTCGCAACATGATTCATGCAGTTCTCAAGAAGTTATGAGCTGTTGAAATTCAAAAGGCGCTTTTTTACCTGCTTTTTCAAGACTCTGAATCTCGGAGGTGTTTCGATAAATCGGAACAACTAGGAAATATCCTGATAAGGCAAACCTTACTCTATAAAACCTATGAAGTCGCAACATCACACACTTTCACATTCAAGATTTATATGAGTTTAACTATCAAGTGTCAAAAAACACGCAAAAATGGCGTAAATTTCTAGAATTCTGGTTTTCAACGACTATCTCTCAAATCGACTCGATTTTTTCACTATCTGTTAGAGCACCATTTACTCTTCAAAACCTATGAAGTCGCAACTGCTGACATCTTCAAAGAACAGATTTATAACAGTGGAAATTTCGCATGATTTTTCATTATTTAAATATTCAAATTCTGGTTCTCGATCGTTACTGCTTAGATCGTCCTACTTCCTTCACACTATGTTATGACAATATTTACTTAATAAAATCCGTACAATCCAACAATCTTTTACTTCCAAGTACACTATTTGATAAGCACGTTTACTTTAGATATTTATGACGCTGTATGCATAAAAATATGCTTGCAGTCATACCTTTTGCATTTGTTTTGCTTATTTTCCGGGCATTGGCGGCAACGACCTGGAAGGATAGACGTTAATGCTCCCCCCCCTCCGGTCGACGTTTTTGGGAGGTGAGTGTTCGGCACTACCAGCTTCACTTTTGGCCGGCCAGTGGTAGCTGGGACCACCTTCACTTTTGGTGGGCCCGGCTCCCCCCATCGCACCCCTGCCTCCAGCTGGAACCGGGGTTATAGAGACCTCCAACTGGGACTGGGGTTATACTGTACTTGGTGGTCTATTATCTAATATACCAAAATCTGACAAATATCCATTTTGCCGATCCACTGCCTTCAATACAGGTCCACAAAGTAACGCAGCATTTATGTTACATTCAGCTCGATCGTTTGCAGATTGCTCAAAGTGTTCCAGCTGTACTTCCATTTCTATCTTCAATTCGATTCCAGTACAACTCCAACTACGTTCACGAGAAATTTGTTCGCAACTCCAATATCTGGGCAATTTTCAAAGCCGTGTATTTTGCTTGAACTCGGCTTGAAGGCAGCGGCTCGGCAGATTTTCGACTTTGGGGTTCTGGCAGACTTGGGGCTATTGCGGCCCTCTGAATCACGATATAAACTCCCCTTAGCACTAAAATGGGGAAAACCCCGTCTTTTAACACCCCCTTGAGACGGGCGCGGACGAGTGAGCCGTTTTTCTCTGCCGTCAGAGACGCAGAGTAAGGAGTTAGAGAGCGCTAGAACAATTGTGCACTACGAAGCTACGAGTGACGGCGCGTTTTCTAGCGGTGAACACACCACTCCGCACAAGGTGTTAGGGGAGCGAAAGAGGAAGGGGAGCGGAGCTTGGCTCGCCTCCCTGGCTTGCAGAATTCACATTTTCGGCCCGGAGTTGCTGTTTTGGTTCACTTGGAGGGCCTCCTATCCATCTGTGTCAAAATCTAAGGTAGGTCAATCTGCCGAGCCGCTGCCTTTAATGGCACTGTCCTTGCCTTCCCTAACTGCCCAGCTTTTGACCCTAATCTCTTGATATTTTGAAGTACAAGTTGCTTATGGAGCTGTAGCGGAGGGGGAGGGGGGAGAAGGAAGAGTGTAGAGCTGTGAGCTATTGCAATGTCCTCCCCTTTCTCAAACCTTTTCGTGGAAGAGTGAAAAATTATTTGTAGGTACTATCGAGATGGATAGTGATCACAGTAATTTCTGAAAAGTCAAGCCTGGAATGTGTAAATCCTAAGTGAACTGATTCTGCCGCTCTTCTTGGAATTGAAAAATTTATCCTCCCTTATAGATTCTAATCGGGCTCCTAACACGTGAAGATGAAGCCCGGATACAGACATATCTAGGCACTTTAGCTTGCCAACGGCGGAAGATGTCGTCGATAAGACGGCGCACAACGCAGGACGCGCACATGGCTCGTAAATCGCACGTCGATCTCACGATTATAGTATTCGTTGTCGAAATGGACGGGCGGCTGCGTTAGATTCGGTGAAAATTACTGCCATCGGGGATTTCGGCGGTGCTTACAATTAGTCGGCGGAGCGGGGAAATCGAGATTGCTCAGGGGATGGTGTTGTATCGTAGCGATTTTGTAAATGGAAGAAATGAACCGAGGGAGATGAAGGGGGGAGAAGGGGGGAGGGATGGGAAGTTTTTGACGTCCACTGATAATCTTACCAGAGTTATTTATCTATCAAACTCTTTTGTTAGACTGTTCTTATGGTTTTCTTATGTTTTCTCATTTTTTCACAGTGAGAAAAGATTGTTTGCTCAATTTCTATACTAAGCGGGTTGGTGGCAACACAAGAATGCTCGTAAAGTCAGTCATACTCTATCATAATGCGTCACATCTGATGGCAAATCAAGTGTTTCTTCGGTGCCGACGCTTGCTGGCTACATTTGCGCGTGAAAAAACTGTTTTGACCGTAATGCCGGCTATAGCACATTCTTAACACACTCAAGCCCCGTGGCAATTTGTTCATGCACAGATTTTGTCGCCGAATGTCGCCACCCCAGAAGTATATTCACCTTCAGATCTATTAGCCTATAACATCTTGATCTTGTTTTTGTAATTCATATAATATAATTCATATACAAATTAAAAAAATATAAAATAAAAAAATAGATAATTTATATACATGTAATTATCTACATACTTAGTCTTAACATAGCAGAGAAATAGTTTTGAATTTTCAGGCTTCTGGGAAACACTCTTTACATGATCGGAGTTTAAGCTACTGTTTTTTTGAACTATTATACTTCTCGACGAATGCCCGCTTTTCTACTAAGATGTTGGAGCATGGCTTGCCAAAGAAAAGCTTTCACCAGAAGAAGGTGTTGCTATGCTGGAAGAACGATATAAGAAGTACAAATATGTGAAGCCAGCATGACGTCACAGAAAACGAGGTATGAACAACTCTTTTCGATTATATTACATGTCAGAAGTTTACCTGAGTAGGTATCAGTTTTTGTCGTGTCGTCCGAGAATGCTTCTGCTGAGAATTCCAGATTTTTGACAAATGCCAGAGGTTTGCGTTGACTTTTGCATTAATACAAAATCAACACCTTTGATTCAACTGGCTTGGCAGCTGGAAGTTGGGGCTTGTGACCTAATTAAGGCTAGGTAATGATCAGAGAGCACGCGCGGGGGAGAGACGCAAACTGCGTCGCGGGCGCGACGGGCCTTAGGTCACAAAGCCCCACCTTCCAACCGCCAAGTCAGTTGAATCAAAGGTTAACTTGTATAGTTTTATGCCGATTAAAATGGAGAGGGGTGAAGAATGCCGATGTTGCTGCTCCCTAGATTATGTATAGCAAATCATTTTCCTTCCAGAAAATACTAAACAAGTTAACCTTTTATAAGATACCCTTTTCTGATGAGTTTGAGCGAGAAAATACTGCAAAAGCAGTTGAAGGTTAAGGCAGAATTTTTAGAATTGTTTTCAGGATGGCTGAGAAGTTGCCTGATTTCAAAAACAGCCTTGCTATACACGATGTGTTGATCGACAAGAAGGTTAGTCTTGTTGATTCATCTCTATAATGCATAACCAGAAATGTTTGAACATCATCATTCTTCCTTTCCAGACTGTAGAAACTATTCAAAAATAGAAGATAATGATCTAGAGGTGTTACTTACAGTTATGCAGTCATCTTCTTCTCAAACCATCATGCAATCCAGCAAAAAAGTTTTTGAAAACCTCCGTTTTTTTCTGAGGAGCTCATTTCTCCTCCCTCAAGAAAAAAGAAGTTTTCAAAAATTTCTTCATTGACATGCCTGCACAGTAATCAGCATTTGTTCCATATAAGCATTTTTGGACATATTGCTACATATTTTCGTGGATGTTTCCTTTCTTTTTGGAAGAAAAAAAAGCTTCCGTATTTATTTTCTATACGTCCCTACACGTTTTAAGGCAACACCTCATTCTTTTGCTTTGAGATAAAACATCAAGCATTCTTGACAATATCTGAAGGCTCTCAAATGTTGCAATTAATGGCTATTAATTCCAGGAGAAAGAAGAGCCGTTTGAGACCACTTATCTTGTCTCCGAGGAAGTCTACACCAAGGCTACAGTGCCAAAGCCTGAGAAGGTTCGATTTTTGGTTCAAGGCTTTCTTTGCTCTCTATTTTGACGTTTGTAGGTGTCAATATGGTTGGGAGCTAACGTGATGGTCGAGTATGAGCTGGACAAAGCTAAAGAGCTTTTGGAAAAGAATAGAGGAAATGTACAAAAGGTAGGGTTCTGGAAAATATTTTGGCTGTAAGGACTTGGGTTTAGTTGTAATTGATTTTTTCGTTTTAGGCAGTGGATGAACTCACCTCAGAATTAGCTTTTGTAAAAGATCAAATTACTACCACCGAAGTGAATATTGCTCATGTGCACAACTATTATACGTATAAAGAAGCGACAACAGAAAACTGCTGCTTGAATGTCCGATGTTAGAACCCTATTTTGCTTGATTCTTAAATTGTTATGAACCTTTTTTGTTATCTGCAGCTGAAGATTATACGAACGCCTTCAATTTCCTCATATCTCAAATCTTTCCCTTTTCTGAAGATTACGACCGGACACTGTCTCACTTCTTACTTTGTGGCTTTGGGTGTAATTGTTGATTTCAAGTAGAAGAGTGTTACGGAAGTTGTTGTTTCATACTTCGTTTTGTTTCAAATGAATTGCGAGCAGTCACCTGTTCAAAATCTGCCTTTTCATCTCATTCATCTCTTTCACAAAATTTGCCTCTTGTCAAATCAAATGGTAGGTATCATGTCAGATTTTGCGCAATTATAGCTAGTATATCAGCTCCAGGATCCAAATTAATTATGTGCAAATTTTGCTTCTTACAAGGGAAGCATGTTTAGCCAAAGTGGTCTTTTCACATAAGACGTGTACCATATTGAAGAGGATCATTCACCAATTCCAAATCTAACTTCTTTATCTGCGGAACATTTGTGCACGAGGAGTTACGAGCTTTATTAGAGAAGAAATAAAAGTGCATTTAGGATAAGTGAGATAATGAGATCTTGTACGCTCATATAAATCAGCCAGGTGTGATAATTTTTTTATCTTAGAGTACAAATTCACTGAATAAAGTGCTCTGATAATTATCACTGCTTCATCAAGGCGCAAGAAAAGATGTACGATTATTCTTCTCTTACTTGCACATTTAATTTTTTCCCTTTAATAAACGCTCATAACTCCTCTTCCATAAATTCCGCAGATTAGTAAGGCAGATTTAGGATCAGCGTTTTATGCCCAGTATGGTATGTATCTCATGTAAAAGGGCCACTTTGGAAACACACTTCCCTTGTTACCACCGGACGATAACGAAAGCTGAGTTCGGAAACCTTGGTTTTAAGCACAAGAATTCCACGAGAAGTATGAGTGGTTGTAGGTTTAGAATCTGCAATCACAGAGAGGAATGGTTAGTTGAATTGGAGTGTTACTATTGGGGCATGAAACACTGATTTCAGACCTGTCTTTCTTATATGCGGAGCAGTTTTGGTGGAGTTGAGCGGAAATTGAATGCGCAGCTAGAATGAAGTAAGCTGTCAAGATCTTACATGAAGCAGCGAAGTGCACACGTTTTGTTTTAAACGAATTTTTGCGTAGGGCCTCGGGCAGAGTTCACGCGTTCGTCGCGATACAATCGCTACAAGACAACTGTTACAGGTTCATTGCATGCCGATCAGCTTGCATTTCGGTTGTGATACTTTTCCAGCGCGAAATTTCCGTATGTAAAGGGCCGGGCATACTTCACGGATTTCAGTCGCGACGCGATTTGGCATTTTGCAGAAGTCTTCAGATCCAACACTAGCAGACTGCACATGCGTAGTGTGCATGTCTTACCTGGATTGACAAAATGCCCTATCTTCTGTACATTTATAATGTTCTTACGGTGAGTTATGGACAGTTGGAATATTGCCAACGCGTCGCGACTGAAATCGTGTGAAGTATGCCCGGTCCTTAAAATGACACTCTAATCGTTCTAATCGACGCTCTAATCGTTCGAACTCTGTCCGAGGCCTAAGCTCTGATAGTTATTGCTGCTCCACTTTAGCACTAGGAGAAATGTTACTACATTTATTATCCTAATTGTGCAAAAAAGTCGCTCTAAAAATGCTCATAACTCCTAGTCCAAAAATGGTCTTAGTTTAGGAAGACAGTGTTAGAGATTTCATGAGCGAATTCCGGCAGAAGCCTTGACCTAGAGTTTCATCGTGGCATCTTGCCATCATTCAGATCCCTGTACGAAAGCGTAAGATGATCCGATGAGCGGAACCTTGGGAACTGTGCGCGAATGGATCCATGCGGCTTTTAGCCGACATAAGTGGGACTGTCCCGACTTTTTGCAAGGTATAGGCGATTCATAGCAAAAAGACTGCGGACATATCGGCTTCTCCGTGATCGTGCTCTTTCGTTTCTCTTACCGTCTGCGGTCTCTCCTAGGCACAAACTATCTTCGTCAGACGCAGTGGCGCCTAGTCTTTGCGTTTCATGAATCGACGATATGAACGCTTGGCATTTTCAAGTTGGCTTTAGCATTAAAAATTATCAAAAATTATGTTTTTGAGAACGGCGCCAAAAAAAGAATACGCTTATATAGTCGTTTTCAAAGGTTTCATCTATGAAATCAAAAAGATTTTTGCTCAGAGATGTAGTTTAAGGTGGTCATTGTCATTATGGCAATGAATAAGCCATAATATGTTTGATAACTATTCCAAATTCGCATACGTCCTATGGCACAAAGGTTTTACTCTTTCAAAGTCACCGATCTTACATGAAAAAGCTTTTCAAATGAGTAGTTGTTTACAAGTCATTCGTGATGGCCAGCACTGCTCGGTGAATGTAGCCATCATCAGGCCTAGGACAGGGTTCACGCAATTTGATGTAATTTAATTTTCATTTTTTTCGCGATTTTCATTCATCTTCATTTTACATTCAGAAATTTCGAACTGAAAAAGTATTACAACCGAAATGCAAGCTGATTGGCATGCAATGAACTCGTAACAGTTGTCTTGTAGAGATTGAATCGCGACGATTAAATCGCGTGAACTCTGTCCGAGGCTTTAGGCGAATACGGCGAAAGCATACAGATAGTAGGACAAGTGCGAGCCTCTACGAAGCAGAGGTGACTCACTGATATGTAGCAAATGGCATCCTAAGCGACTAGATTCGCCACTTTGATTTACAGTGTTCTCTATTTTTTGCTGTGACTTGGTGTCAAAACAGAGAATTCATGCGTAGAAACCAGTTGAACTCTTTATCTGAGAAAAATAGGAGCAATTTATTAGTAAGCTACGTCACGATACATGAAGCTCAAACGCTATGCATTAAGTATTGCACAATTGCTGTCAAGTGAACTTTGGCAGGAAGTGCACATCTTTTTTGTGAAACAAATCAGAATTAGCTATAGCCGATGCAGATGGTACTGTTCGGTTTTGCCCATGAGGAGTTGTCTTTTGTGAGAAAGTTTGCGATGTAAAGAGTCTGATTTGCATCGCTTATGACGTAATCAAAGCCGTAAACCGAGCCCGTAATTTTTACTTTTCTCTCTGTCAGTTGCACTTGTCCACAGCATGTTCCTTCGCAGGCGCAGTAGGTGGTGAACGCGTAGGCGTGCAGAAATTCGTATCCGGTCACATTGTAGATGTCTCCAAAGTACAGTTTGTGCTGATCTGAACTATTCTAATTGTAATTGACAGTATAGTAGCTATATAGATGCTTTTTCAATTTTATACCAGCCGTTAGCATCTCCCTTTCAAAATCTAAGCACCGTTCCTAATTCATTCTTCGAGCGACATTCCTCAAACATCCGGTGAAATTTCTCGCGAAGTGAACTGACATAGCAAGATAACGCCAGTCATCGCAACTCTTAGAATGATTGTGTTTGTAAGCGGCTCAAAATCCTTATATTTATTGTGGCGGAAATAATGTTGCTAGGTTTTGCTTCAAAGTTACAGTTTTAGAAACCACTCTCATATTATGAAAAAAAAAGCACCACGATCACATCTTCAACCACCCACCGCACCCAATTGTCCCAGTAATATTAGGTTGTCCCGAAAGTCCGTTCGCACCATTTTCAAAAAATCATAACTTCTTTGCATCACAACCGTTTTAAGCAATCTAAATTTTATTAGAAAGCGTAAAACATGTGGTTTCCAAATGCTCCCTGGGAGCTTTTGGAAACTACATGCCTTACGCTTTCTAATAAAATTTAAACTGCGCAAAATCGTTATGAGGCAAAGAAGTTATGATTTTTTGAAAATGGTGCGAACGAACTTTCGGGACAACCTAATACCAATGAGCGAGTTAGGTAAGACAAGAGGACAAAAACTTGTCGTCCGAAGCTTCAACAACTCATACATTTTCTGAATGTGGGTAAATAACTCAAAACATTTGCGAATTCCAGCCTTAGGACTCTATAATAACCAAAGACTATATAACCAATGCAAGATTTGCAATGTTTCGTTTTAAAGCTTTACAATTCCAAAGAAACATATGCGAAGAATTCTCCAAAAATTTCCTCTCGGAATAGGGAACCGTAGAATCAAAATGTCAACTTCTTGTTCTCTCTGTCAAAATGCAACCTTTTGAATCTCAAAACTTCATTTTTTTGCCAAAACAAACAACGGTTCACTCAAAAGCGAACTTCGAGTAAATATTCGAGTGATTTATCGAGTAACTAAAGTACCATATCTGAAACTTGCTGACATATTCGGCTAAAGCCGATCCATTCTTAATCAGCATCCTCATATCCCCTATACCAACTCCTAGCTCAAGATTTGCCAAAATCTGTGGAATCGATGAAATAGATTTTACTTTCAGTCAGCACCCTCATTTATCCCCCCCCCACCCCCTGTACCAACTCCTATCGCAGCTTAACCCTTTCGGACCTGGTGGTGGCAATTGCCACCATCAATTCAGAGATCTACTGTACTGGCGCAAGAACATCATTTCACTACTCATTGCTCTCAAACTCTTCAAATAGCCTTTGCCTTCCAAATGTAGCTTCGAGACCGGGTGTTCATTGGCTTCTCTGTCAGTAGTACGTACATTTCTGTAAACAAGTGGATTTCAACCAATCAATGATTTTCGGCGGCTTGAGCACCGTTTCAGTATCTCGTTTATTAGCCAAAAAATATTCATAATATTACCATAATGTTTTAGTACGATGCTGAGCAAATGTAACTGCTAACTGTTTGCGGGTCTACATGTATCGCGGGAGATTTGAAAATCCAAAATAAACGCAAAACCAAAAAATTGAAAAATCAAAAAGAAATAGTTCATAAGGTTAAGCAGACTTCAAACTCCGCTATAATGTTATTCATATGGTATTCAGTGAAAAACAATAGGAGAGAGGCTCTTCGGCTCACTCGCAAAAACTCAGGTCCGAAAGGGTTAAGACTTTCCAAAAATCGATAAAAGCATTAATGTAAATGTTTAATCATAACTAGCACTCTCACTTAGCCCCCCCCCCCTCTTGTACCAATTCCCAGCCTCGTAGAATAGAGGCAGTTGTGTAACATGAGTTTTGTTAGGTTGTCTCATAAGTTTTTTCAATTTTGATTTTTACCGTAATAAGTCTCACATTCTTGAATTCTGATTAGAATGCAGAATTCTGTTCGATAGAGCAAAGCAAGCTCTATAAGATGGCGTGTATGTGCTCACACCAGCTTCAGCACATCACGAATTATAAGCCAAAATCTGAGAACTTCCGGATGCCGAAAAATCAATAAATTTTTGTATCTTTGTTCACAGAAGACTTGTCGGATCCCAAACTCGTTTAAGCATGCACACTCCACATAAGACATTCATATATGCCGTTGCTATGTTTGTTCTTGTGCTAGAGACCGAGAAAAACTGAATTTTTTAAGCATCCAAGAAAGCGATGCTGCACTGTTTTCACTAGGTATTCAATATATTGGGTTGTTTTAAAAGTTCTACAGTCACTTCATTTCATTTAATCATGTGTGCCATTGCACACGCGGTCCACTTTGGCGTCCTCATCCTGGATTTGCAGTTGCAAAAACGCAAGAGACTTACCGATTGTTATCGATTACATCATTTTGAGGTAACTAGTAACTAAAAAGAAGAGAAAATGCTAAGAACACCTTGGAAACACTTACCTGAAGGCTTGTTTCTCCCACGAATCCAGGATGGGGACGCCAAAGGTGAACTGTGCAATGACATACATGATCATATGAAATGAAGCGACAGTACCCGTTTTCGATACCTTTTTTGAACTGCCGATTTTGGAGAAAGAAACCATTTTTTTTATAAACAGTGCTTACACCATTCAAAAGCTCTTTTCTTCTAGTTTTTCAGGCATATTTTCGTTTTCATAGATCTTTGTTCGGTATCTGGTTGCGTACTTTGAAAGACAGCGAAACAAATGTAAAAATTTTCGTCTTTGCTCTATCGTCGTGACATCTGCAGCCAAAAGAAAAAATTTCTTTTAAAACATACATAATGTTTACTGGAGACTTGTGCTACAAAACGCACATCGAGATATAATTTCAGAAAGATTATGAATCTACAAATTTTTAGCTCAAACATGACCTGTCTTTATGGTCCCTTCAAGTCGCATAAAAATTATAAACATATGGCAAATTCGGAACTTTTACTTTATATAGTAAGATTAAGGCTAGAACAACTGCTACTAGAAGAACGAAAAGATTTTCTGGCTCGTCAACGGCGAACAATATCAAAAATGTCAAAATATTGCATTTTTTGTCGCCTCAGAAAGAGCAAAATGAGTGGGTCCTATCGGATTTTTCAGCACAAAATTTTCATGAAAGAGTTTGATGAAATCTAAAGAGCGGTACTGCTCAGTCGACTATGGGCTACACTGTGAGCAGTGCTTGTGCAACTCAGCTATATTCCAAATCAAGTTATGCTTTTGCAAAGTGATGGTTCCTACAGGGAGATGTTCCTCGATTTTCGCCTACAAAATCTTCTTCACTGTTACTGCAATAATCTTGAAGAGTGCGCAGAATAGCCAAAGATTTGCAGATTATAATACAGTTTATAGCAATTGCAAAGATCATTTCTGAGAAGCGTTACGGTGAATCAAAGTCAAAGATCGAAAACGGGTAAAACTTTTGAGACAACCCAATAAAATAACCCAGCAAAGTGAGCTAAATTCAATATTTCTCGGGAACTAGCGCTTCCAAGAAGCTGAAAATTTACCGATGTATTTCTGAAAGTCTGCAGTATATACCTATTTATGTGGAACAGTGCAGCATCGCTTTTTTTGGAAGTTGAAAATTTCAGTTTTCTCGTTTCTAGCACAGAAACATACACAGCAACCGTAAATGAATGTTTATGTGGGGTGTATATGCGCGAGCGTGTTTAGGATCTGGTAAGTTTTTTTAAACAAAGATATAAAAAAATTTTGATTTTTCGGGCATCCGGAAGTTGTCAGCTTTCGGCTTCTGATTCATGAAGTGCTGAAGCTGCTGTGAGCACGTACACGCCATTTTATGGAGCTTGCTTTGCTTTATCGAACGCTACCTGCACTCTTATCAGAATTGAGAAGTTGGGACGTTTTGCGGTAAAAAGTCAAAATTGAATTAACTTATGAGACAACCTAATACAAGTAAGAGTGCTCACTAGTGTGGACCTTTGCTTAAAAGCGTGAGCAATGCAAAGGAAGAGAAACAGGCATGTTAACATACATCTTGTATGTGAACTCGGGACAGGGGCTTGAATTCAATAGCCGTTTTTTTGCTGATCTGGTGCCAGTAGCAGTGAAACCTATTCCATTGATCGAAAAAGCATCAATCAAAATCCACATCTTTATTTTTACTGTCGCAAGCAGTCAGAGGAATGCGACTTTCCAGTTCAAAGGTTCAAAGGTCATTAGCGCTGCATAAAGATGCATTACCGAGTTTTGCAAGAAAAAAAAAAGCAGAATGAGAAGTTGATACTCAACAGTTGGCTCTGCAACAAACTCGAATACTCTGAGGAGTCTCATTCGAATACGAATTCAAATAAACATTCGAATAAAACATTCGAATAAAATCTATTCGAAACCCTGTTTTTGATTATTCGAGTTCCGAATTTAATTTGAAACCCCGTTTTCTCAATTATTTGAGTTTCAAATATTGGGTTGTTTCAAAAGTTCTACCGGTTTTCGACACCTTTTTTTAAACTGCCGATTTTGGAGGAAGAAACCAGTTTTTATAAACAATGCTTTATCATTCAAAAGCTCTTTTCTTCTAGTTTTTCAGGCGTATTTTCGTTTTCATAGATCTTTGTTCGCTGTGTGGTTGCGTACTTTGAAAAGACAGCGAACAAATGTGAAAATTTTCGTCTTTGCTTTATCGCCGTGAATTCTACAGCCAAAAGAAAACATTTCTTTTTAGACATATTAGGTTGTCCCGAAAGTTTTGTCGGTTTTTTCAAACCACTGTAAAACCACTTACAATAAAGATCTGAGTGAGTGTCAAAATGCATTTGATGCAGCTTTTCCTTCTCTTTCTTACGATTACATTTTCATACCACAATCTTATATGCTTTTTTGATAATTGCCAAAATTCTACACCAGTCAATTTTACCTGCTCAAAGTTAGGCTAATTATTAAAAATTTCATTCCAAAGTTTCGAAAAGGGTTAAGCATGGTACAAATAGAGCAAGTCTCAGACTACGATGTAATATTTTTAGATTCTCCTAA